AGCTTTTACTGTTGCCCAATTTTTCATGACATTGATCAAAGGGGACCCCATTTGAGGTCAGGATCCACAGTTTAGGAAGCAGCACTCTAAATGATGTATTGAGGGTGTGGAAACATCCATTGCCTCAACCTAAAAATGCTTCCATCCAATTAGCACCATCCTAGAAGTTCATGTTCTGAAGACAAATGTTTCTTTAGGGCTCTTCCCCACAGTTATAGACCTCCCACTATCAGAAGCCTGGTCACATTTCCTAATAATGCAAGTACTGCAACCACATTCAGTTGAATGTGTTTATAGAGACCTCTTCTTACTTTCACATCAGTGTACAAACATCTTGGACATTATAAAAGGACAGAAGTGTAGACACTTGGAGATATGACGCCTGTGACGACTCGTTCCCCATCATTCACCTAGCCCTACACAGGAGCAGACTACAGTATTCTTCCCAGCTTCTAGCATTCTATACATAACATCTGCTTATCACAAGTATACCCACAATAGTACATCTGTTCCTTACTCTTAAGTCCATATGCATAATGTCATTGTAAAATTTATGAATTTAAATTTCTTTGAAACTTACAGTGACAACAGGCGTCATGTTTTCTAATGTGGTGATATGTTAGTGTTGTTTTAATGCTGTCATTGTGGAACTTACCCCAAATGCAATCAAATATAGGTATCAACTGGGAAGATGTTTGCCATGGGCATTTCCTGTTTCCTTCCTTATTGACGAATGAACAACAGTCATCGTCAATCCAGAAATTCTGTAAATGTGTTTGAACATCTGAATTTTTAAACAGACCACAATGGCATTGTCGTTTCAATAAGTTCCCCCCAAATTGAGCTTGATTGTACTGAGGGATTTTTTTTAATGTGACAGATCTGGCAGGTAGGAAGCAAATTATCTCAGTGGTCCAGATGGAGTGTCTGTCGTTTTATCAAACAAAATGGTTGGAAATACCATATTAGCAAAGTTATGTGAAGGAAAGCTGCCATTTTATTCCCTTTTCTGCCAGACTAACAAATGGATGTACCAACATTTGGCTCCTAAAAAAGAGCCTTAAGGCCTGGTAGTGTGCAGGGACACATTTGTGCAGTCGCAGTGCCAGATCAAAACTTCAAAAAAGCAAGTGAAATTTTCAGGGACTGAGGTATCCTGTGCCGTTGAGCCTGCAGGGTTATATGGAATTAGCAATGACCTACATCTGCAACCATGCCATCTCTTGGCAGCCTGCTGTGAGTGTTTCCATCTGGGTTCTATGTACCAGTACAATAAAGCTGTCTCATAGTATAAAAGAAATCCGAACCAGAAAATGTTTGCTCCCCGCCAGCATGATGTTCAGAAGGCCATTGTGTGAAGGCCTAGTAAATAGAGAATGTGCTGAGTTAAACAATGGGTTTGGTCCAAATGGTAACTTTGTGATGTTGTTCTATATTACAGTGATCTGTACTGCTTGCCCCGGGGCCAGACTCTTCCTGGTTTGGCTGTGCACAATGTGTTTTGTAGTAATTGTTCTTTAACGGCAATGGTTGGCATCAAATGATAGGGTCATTTTTCCAATGCTGTTGTTATATGCAGCTGAGAATACAAGCAATTGTGTTGTCCTGGTTTTACTTAGATCAGCATAAAAAGTAAGATTAAAGAATAGCCATCAGAGTACTACTACAGTGTTCATCGCAAGGGTATTTGTGCAAGTATGCAAGTAAGCGGAAAGAAAGAAATGCCATTTCTGGGACTTTGTTCACTGCCAAATATATGGTATGCATTACAAAGCACTTGAAAAGCAAAAGGTATCTGGTTACTTTGGGAATGAAGAGCTCCTATTGTGTGAAGAAATATATGCAGACAGCCACTTTATAGAAAACGGGTAATTGGAAAGTTAATGGAAATGAAGAAAATTTAAGTGACTGGGTGTTAATATTACTTTTTAAATTTATATATTTAATCTCTAAGTTTAGCAAAAATATTTGACTGGGGCGTAAAAAACCCTCAAAAGTTTATATTAGCTTTAATTAGACCTAGATGGAATTCATTATTTTTAATGGGTTTTCATTAGTTGGGTGGAATCATTATTTGGAATGTACAGTAGCAAGTAAGAAAACAAGCTTCTTCTTTTTTTTGGATTCTGTTTAAAAACAGCATTGTGTTAACGAAGCTGTTATTAAAACTACCCTTAGAAGTTTTTGGTTGGAAGAAAAAAGGTGAATTCTTAATAGGCCAGCCAAGGATTCTTCCTCTCTTCTCCATGGAGAAAAATATTGCCCTCATCAAAAAGTCGATTTGGGAAAGAGTACACAGTTAACATGCAATAGAAGAACTCCCTTTTGGGTGGATTGGACTAGTTTTCCCTAATCTGCTGCCAAGATCTATTGGTCTGAAAATCTAAAAGATCGCTTAGAGAAGGTAGCATTCTACCATGGTTTAGTATTCTGGTTCCAGCTGTGACCATAGAGATAGAAATAGGGCTTTTGTCAACATTGCCATTGGCATTTTTTTCCCATAATACTGAGAAACATTTGGGGGCTAATGAAGTAAGAGTATAATGTAGCTTTTACCAAGATTCAGATAGCTACTTCTATTGTCTATTTCTAGCAGCCAAAATAATAAAGACTTAATTTCTATATAAACTGATCAGGACAAGAGGCTAGGGTGCATTTCTGTTTTCATGGATCATTATGCATATTATGTAAATCTTCCCAAAACATCTTTCATATACAAGCAGTCACTGCCTTACAAACATCTGTCTTACAAATAACTCATAGTTAAGAACAGGGCTGAAGTGAGAGAAATCTTATTGGTTTATCACCAATCCTAGTTTGCACAACAAGCCTTTTCTAAAAAAATGCAATTATCACAGGGACAGAAAAAGAGGTGAAATCTTCTGAACAGGAGCACAGATGGCACAATAAACACCACAGGCATGTTAACCCTTCTCTATGTCATCCAAAGTTTATGCTTGTTTGTGTGTGTTTGTGTGTGCATTATATATATAGAGAGAGAGAGAGGGGGGGGGGTAAAGGTTTTCCCCTGACATTAATTCCAGTCGTGTCCGACTCTGGGGGGTGGTGCTTATCTCCATTTCTAAGACGAAGAATAAGTGTTGTCTGTAGACACTTCCAAGGTTATTTGACCAGCATGAACCTAAAATCTTTCAATCAGCAAGTTTAGCAGCTCAGCAATTTAACTCACTATGCCACCGGGGGCTCCCATACACACACACATGACTGGAGTTACACTTAAAATGTACCTGTTCCAACTTACAAACAAATTCAACTTAAGAACAAATCTACAGAACCAGTCTTGTATGTAACTTGGGGATTGCCTGTATATGATATTTATGTGCAGAGGGTGTAGATGCAGCATAGATTAATTTCATGCTTAAATTTGGATTCCATCTCCAAGGTATCTCCTTACATACATATAAAGAGATGCTTTTACCACCATCACAAGCATGGCTAGTGGGGACAAAGGAGAGGGCCATGTTGGTGGTGGCCCCCCAACTTTGGAACCTCTCCCCAGGGAGATTAGGCAAGCCCTCACACTGTCCTCCTTCTGTAGGGATTTGAAAACCTGGATGTTCCAGAAAGCATTTGAGATTGATTAGTCCCTAGTTATATCTGCCTAGTTCCTAGGTTGCCAGATAGTACTCTGTTTTAAACTTCATCCACTTTCCCGGCCCTAGGTTACACTATTTGCACTATCCACTGTCCAGTCCTTTTATAGGTTGGTCTTGCCTAGATATCTTGGTCATTGTTTTTGTGGAAGTTGGTCTGATGGAGCTCCAATGCAATTTGTTTTATTCTTTTATGTCTCATGCGTTTTCTCTGGCTTGTTGTATTGTATGATGCTCCTATTTTGATGTGTTTTGTTTTATGGATTGTTTTTGCTTTACATTTTGTGGACATTTTGTTCCATATGTAAGCCGCCCTGAGTCCCTTTGGGGAGATGGTGGCGGGGTATAAGAATAAAGTTGTTGTTGTTGTTGTTGTTGTTATTATTCCAAAATATTCCAAAATATGGGGAAAAATCTGAAATCCAAAGCACTGCTGCTGCCAGTCATTTTGAATGAGCGATATTCAACCTGTGACTAATGGAGTCCTTTCTAAAAGCAACATTCATTTTATTTTGAACTGTTTGTTTAAAGTAAAAAGTTTTCAATGTCCTTCATATTTAATGTCTACTTGCTCAAATAAATGCAAATGACTGTTGTGATCCTTTTTTGTGCCGTACAAAAATGTACAATACTGAAGGAAAAAAAGACATTATAGTGTAAAATGGAAATTGTACTTTGATGAAGGGAATAGGTAATCAATACCTGCAAGCTGGAAAGAGTGTTCTATTTCCTTCAGTAATGATACAGATTTCTTTTCTTCTCCTCTCTCTCCCTTTTGGCAAGACAGTGGTGTCTGGAGCATGAGCCACTCAGAATAAGAATGAATTTGAAATCTGTAGTGGGAGATCAGTTTCAATTAAAACTGCACTCGAGTGTTGCTGGACAGAAAAACTAATAGTTAATTGTGAACCTTGAAATCATTAGCAGCAAATAGATAGATTCCATTACAGTCTTCCATCTTGATTTTATATTTCATAAAACATTTATATAAATCATGTTTGTTAAGTACGTGCTCCCTCGTAAACATTTAAAATAAAAACAGAATGCCATTTTCAAAATGTTCATCGCATAACATTTATTACTTTAAATTTGTAAATTAATTGGCTTTGGTGCTAGAATCTGTCTGTCGACATATGCCTGGACTTCTCTTCTTTTGATATCATGCATATGTGAATTGTACTATAAAATGTGGTAGCAAACTGTTTGTAGAAATGAACACTCTATAAAAAAGCAAATTAGCTTCAGAATTACAGTTTTATAAACACAATAAAGTTTGCAAAATTTAGGATGCAGCTGAGCTCATCTAGGAGGATCTTTCATAACTTAGCCTTGTCTTCTTGTTGGTTGAGCCATCATTACATAGAATATCTATTTTCTTTGAAACAGGTGCATACGGTCCTGAGCACTGGGTTAGTTCAAATTCGGACTGTGGGAGAACTCACCAGTCTCCAATAGACATCATCGATCATCAGACACACGTTGGAGAAGAATATCAAGAAATACACCTAGTTGGTTTTGATAATGAATCTTCAAATAAAACTTGGATGAAAAATACTGGGAAAACAGGTAAGGAGTGCATTTTTCCTTTTTTTTTAAATTGTCATTTATATAGTTGAATTTTCATCCATGATGAACTTTAGCCCTGATTGAGCATTTATTGAGAATAATAGTTTGCAAATCTGAACATCTTGGCTTTGCCCAGGAGTATGGTTCCAGAGGTCTAGTCATCATAGGGTTTTCATTCTGTCTTCTGGTTGTGAAAGCTGGATAGTGAAGAAAATTGATAGGAAGAAAATCAACACATTTGAAATGAGGTGCTTAAGAAGACATCTATGGATATTGTGAGCAACTCAAGTCTCAACTCACCCTAGATTCCAGGAAGACTAAACTGAGGCCCATACTTTGGCTACAGCATGCAGAAATATTACTCTCACTAGAAAAGTTAATAAAAAAGGTAGAAGGCAATAGGAAAAGAGGAACACCACAGTTTTCTCAATAAAGAAAACTACGAGCATAGTCAGCAAGACCTGAACAGAGCAGTTGGAGATCTCTCATTCATAGGGTACCATGTTTTGAAATTGACTTGATGGTAGTTAACAACGACAAAGCTTGCCCATGCATTAGGTTGAACTATCTGTAGAGCTTCCCTTCCAGTTATTAATCATGTGTGTGAATGGTTAGACTAGGACATATGTAATTACCTTTTAATGGTTTTTATAAACTCAGCATAAATGTCTTCAGTTAATAAATTCTGACAAGATCTCTAATCTTGATATATTGTCTGGTAGTAAACAAGGTAATTCACTATTAACGTTCTAATATAATGGAAACATGATGAACTAACAGGAATTTATGGAAAACCTATTCATATAAGTTACTCTAGATCCTGTCTGATCTTTGGAGGTAAACAGTCTCAGTCTGGGCAGTACTTCGATGGGAGACCAAAAAAGAACGGCAGGTGCAGTAGGCTATATTTCAGAGGCAGGAGCTGGCAAAACTCAGAGCAGATCTCCTGTTCATTGAAATTGGAGTCACCAACGTATACTAGGTAAACACACATTCCTGTGCTCTTTAATGTTATAGTTCTGTTATTTTACACTTTGTACTCCTGTGGGAATATGGAGGCAAATTCTCTGAATTTCCTCTTGCCATAAACACCAGCCCCGTCCATGTAGAATTCATATAGTGAAACACACATACCCTGTGCACACATGTTTTGGAATCACAAAAACAATTAATTGGAGTATAATTATGCTTCTAAATATTATAAATACTATTTAAAATAATGAAAATCCAACTTAATTCATTTCTGCTGAAATCAGATGACCCCTTCTCTGCATATGCTATAAACTTCATTGTAGTAAAATATTCTGCAGTAATATTTTATTAGGTAGTTTACTATTCAGTTATATGAAGGTGAGGAAGCAAAGGACAGATTTAGTTATGCCACATGAGACTTTCTGAACTCCCCAAATATCAGGAGAAATGGAAATGCTGCTATTAAAGAAGTATCACATTTATTGAGTGCTTTAGAAATGCAGTCTTGTGTTAACAGGTAGGACACTATATTTTTCATACCTCATAAATTATATTAAATTAAGGCCATGATTTTTTTTATCTCCATTTTGTTCACTTGATGTTGCTAGCATGTGGTATGGTGTTTTGAAAGAGAGCTTTCACATGGTGGTGTGATGTCTTCATTAAGGGATCATTTGTAGGTTTACAAACTGGAAGATGGGACGGGGGAAGATAGAGCTTCTGCTGTTTTCTCTTCCCATCCAGTGTTGGCCTCAATGAGTCTGGGGGTCCATCCAGATAGGCCCAAACACTAGAACCTGCAGCTCTTAAAGCTCTACTAGGCTCATAAAGGGAGATTCGTTCTGACAGGTAAGTTGGACCAGTTGTGTGATCTAATCCGATATGGTAAACACATTATACGTGATAGCAATACCTTTTTATACTGATGTAACTTCAGGTAGGGAAAATATACGGCTTCCAAGATCAATTTGAGTTTGGATTAAAACAAGTGAGTGTGGCATTCATTTGGTTACACTGGGGTAGGATACACCACCCTGGAGCTGGGATATAGTACTTATGTGGATTCAGCCTCATTTTGGTTTAGTTAAAAAGAAATACACTCCCATATTTCAAGATTCGGAACAGCAAAACGGTTTATGTTTTGCTTCATTATCTGAAGAACAAATTACAGGTAGATAAAAAACCTGTTAGGCACTTGGAGCGCTTTTGTAGTCTCCAACACATGTGACAAACATGAAAGCTTAGTACTTTGGCAGGGATCCATGTGTTTTACAAACTAAAGTAATAGCAGCTCTTAGCCCCATTTCCAACACACAGAATATTTTAGAAGTCAAAAATTTGGAGGGAAAGAAAGCCTTTAAGACTGCTTAAGAAAAGTGTTGTAGTATTTCAAATTCAAGCCTTACTAAAGAGAAAAAATGAATGCTGGGTATGCCAATCTGCAGTTTAAAAATCTGTATAGTGGATATCACGGCAGAAATATTGAAATAAATGGATGTGTTAAGTAGGGTATATGTGTAACTTTGTGTCTGACTGTTTACGATTTATTTTTTTCTGTGTTGTTGATTTTCACTTTTAGTAAAAATTAAATTAATCTATGATGCTTCCTTCAAATATCCAGATTTTGTGTATATTGCCACAAGCCATGGGTATTCCAACAGTAAATACTTCACGGCCATAAAGTGACTGCAGGTGATTTTGCGAAATGACAGGGGCAGTCTGCATCTTTGTCTGTGTCTATGTTTGTTTGTGAGAGATGAGGAGAGAGGAAGAGAGACAGACAGGCCTTGAGATCTTATACAGCCTTATAAGAGACACTATAAAATGAACAATTAGATGAACATTTCAGATTGTACATCCTCCTAATTATCCTTTTAATTATTAATCTAAAACAAGGAAAATGACCCCTGACAGAGTCATAAATGATTTAGATGTCATCAAATATTTATACAATGCAGCTGAATCCCACTGTGCATTGTAAGAGAATCACAGGAGCTTTCTTTCGTGTCACACTTTCCATAAAGCACACTTTTTAAAAAGCCTCAAACACTCTTCTTGTCTCAGAGTCAATTATGTTTGCACAAACTGTCTTTTTTCTCTCAACAGATTTATAAAAAAAATCTAATATAGGTAACCCAAGAGTCTTCCACCCAATGCGCTGGTTGTGAGGGATTTCATTTAGAATTCTATTTGTTGGATGCCATGAGAGGTCATTTGGTTGGTCTTCACTTTTTCAGAGATAGATAGATAGATGATAGATAGATAGATAGATAGATAGATAGATAGATAGATAGATAGATAGATAGACAGACATATATATACACACACACATACATGCACGCACACATACATACGCATTTCTGACTTTTTGGAAGCGCTGAGGTGAATCTATCCCAGGGCTTTGTCTGCAAAATATGTTTAGAGTGGGGGGGGGGGGTTGGTCCTTTGCTTTTCTCTGAACTGAGAGAATCTGACTTGCTCATAGTCATTCATATTGGGTTGCTGTGAGTTTTCTGGGCTGTATGACCATATTCCAGAACCATTCTCGCCTGACGTTTCGCCCACATCTATGGCAGGCACCCTCAGTGGTTGTGAGGTCTGTTGGAAACTATGCAAGTGAGGTTTATATAGCTTTGGAATGTCCAGGGTGGGAGAAAGAACTCTTCTCTACTTGAGGCAAGTGTGAATGTTGCAATTGGCCAGTTTTATTAGCACTGAATGTCCTTGCAGCTTCAAAGCCTGGCTGATTGCTGCCTGGGGAATCCTTTATTTAGAGGTGTTAGTTTGCCCTGATTTATTCTTGTCGAATTCCACTGCTTTTTGAGTGTTGCTTTTTATTTCCTGTCCTGATTTTAGAGTTTTTAAAAACAAATAGCCAGATTTTGTTCATTTTCATGCTTTTTCTCCTTTCTGTTGAAGTTGTCTGCATTCTTGTGTCTTTCAATGGCTTCTCTGTGTAGCCTGACATGGTGGTTGTTAGAGTGGTCCAGCATTTCTGTGTTCTCAAATAATATGCTGTGTCTAGGTTGGCTCATCAGGTACTCTGCTATGGCTGACTTACCTGCAATGACTTTCATGTTCCTTGATGCATGTTTGGGCCTTGCTACGTTTGGTGGTCCCTATGTAGACTTGTCCACGGCTACATGGTATCCGGTAGATGCCTGCAGAAGTGAGAGGTTCCCTCTTGTCCTTTGCTGAACATAGCATTTGTTGAATTTTCTTAGTGGGTCTGTAGACAGTTTGTAGGTTGTGTTTCTTCATCAGCTTTCCTATGTAGTCAGTGGTTCCCTTGATGTATGGCAAGAACTCTTTTCCTCTGGGTGTATCTTTGTCTTTACTCTCATGACTTGTTCTCTGTCTTGCAGCTCTTCTGATGTCTGTGGTGGAGTATCCATTGGCCTGTAGAGTTTAAGTGGTTCAGTTCATCTTGGAGGAGGTGGGGTTGCCTGGGCTTTAATTTTCTTTCTTTCTTTCTTTCTTTCTTTCTTTCTTTCTTTCTTTCTTTCTTTCTTTCTTTCTTTCTTTCTTTTTTGGCTTGGGTGATGGTTGGATTTTTAATGTAGGTATCTATCTGTGTGTGTATGTTTTCTGTAAAGTGTGTGGCTTAATTGTTGATTGGTTGACTAGGACATCTAGAAATGGCACTTTCACTCATATTGCTAAAACCGCTTCTTTGCTGGGTTGTTGTAGGTTTTTTCGGGCTATATGGCCATGTTCTGGAGGCATTCTCTCCTGATGTTTCGCCTGCATCTATGGCAAGCATCCTCAGAGATAGTGAGGTCTGGCCCTGGATTATGTGATTTTAAATTGTTGTTTTAATGTGATATTTTAACTGGTTGGTTTTAATGTTTTTGTTTATTTATCAATAATATGTGTACACAAGGCATCTAATTACTGCCTTTGTAAGGCTGCCTTGAGTCCCCTTCGGGATCAAGAAGAGCGGGACATAAGTGTGACAAATAAATAAATAAATAAATAAAGTGGCACCAGAGCAGAGAGAGTAGAGGAGGTCAGTCCTTTTTCAAGGT